GTGTTCTTTACTCTCTCTCTCTCTCCAACAACCCTTAATTTGATTTCTCGTGAAGTGAAAGTCTTTGTTAATAAACTGAGATATTTTTTGTATCCTTTGGCAAATTAACCAACGTGATTGCATTGCAAACCCAGTGACCATACAAACTTTAAGCCATTAAGCAACTACTAATGAGTCTAGTTTGTGAGATTTTGATGAATTGTCATTGATTTTAGAATTTGCAATCTTATCAGTATCTAAAAGTTGCATATATCATTCTCAACAACTTTTCCCTCTTTCTTCAACAATTACTGTGCAAATTCCATTGAACATATTATATATATAATGAAATATTAATTTATATGAAATATTGATAGTACTTGGAATATTATATATATGTTGAACATGGATGATGCTAATTATAATTACGTTATCTCTATAAAAGATAACGGAAGAAAAGGGATGACAAAAATTTTTTTTTTTTTGAGATAATAAAGAGAATTCGAAACTGTTTCATCATAATGAAATAGTATTATATATAATTGACTATAATATATGAATATCATTATTTATATGATTGACTGTTGTCTTTCGTGAAACCACCTTTAATTTAAATCTTACCCTAGTATTACCACAAAGAGTTGTGTTGGCATTACAACTTCATTTATCAGAGTTATTATATTTTGTTGGTAGTTTAGAATGGTGTTCCATCTTTTTCCTCACATTCGGAGGGAAGAAGTCCTTTGAAATAATTTTTTGGTGGACTAATTAGTGCTTGATGTGTACTTGATGACAATAAAATTTGGTTTCAGACAATCAAATTAAATTAATGCAACTGTTTAATTATAGAGAAACCCAAAAAATTAAGCTTAATAGCTATGCGAAAAATTATGTTTGCTCTCTAAATAAGTGATGAGTTACTTTTATTCATTAGGGAAATACTGCATTTATTCACCAAATTTTTCTTATGAAATGATATATTGTTTCACAAACTATATAAAGAGTTATCCGACTTCTAACATTTTCAGGGTTTGGTTTATCTTAAAGTTGTAATCGCCTTTAAGAGAGTCTACAACCACAGGCATCAAGATGCAACATAAAAAAAACACAACCAAGGTAACTATCTCAAAGCATCTTACTAGAAACGACGTGGAGCAAAGCTTATTATTCCGTGTTCCTCGTATCTTCAATGTAGAAGAAGGGGATTTGTTTTACATGCACGCTCGTCACAACCTCGGGGGCGCTTGGACGTTTCCTTGTTGCATCAAGAAAAATGAAGAGACGGAATCAGTTCTTGCCATCCACTGGTTCGAGTTTGTTCGTCTCAGAGGCATCCGACCTAATGACGAGGTTATTCTGCTAGCAGAATTTTCGAGTTGGAAAGAAACATTGATGCAGTTAACTATGGAACTGAAAAGAAAGATTACATTGTTTGGCAAGGATATTTGGAGTCATTTCTCATATAATTGCGAAAAGCTTTTGCCATTTTAGTAAGGAGCCACTCCGACGAAGAAGAATAAATATAGGACGGACCATGTCTCTCAAGTAAACAAATGTTATATAATTAAACTTGGTTGTGGTTTTGTTCCTATTAGTTTGTACTTTATGCTTTCATTTTGTCTCTAATAAATTTATTTCTTTTTAATAATTTGATTGTTTTTCGTTAATTTTATTATTTATGTACGGAAAAGAAATCCCTTGTCCCCTATTGGCCCCCCCATGCAATTGTTTTTTCGCACTCATGAAATGGGGTCAGAGAACTAAAATTAAATCTAGTGAATTGTTGTTATCATAATTAGAAACTAGGGATGCTGAAGAACATTATATCATTTCTTTTTTTAACTTTTATATATAAAAAGAAAGGTTGCTAGAGAAATGTCCAGTTCCTTTGGATATGCTCCTTGCATTTGAGAACATCATGTACATACATGAGAATTTATGTTGTTTCCTTTTCTTTTCTTTTCATAATCAGTACTACTATATATAAATTCTATGATAAATGGAAATTTATACTTAAGAGGAATAAATAAATAACATTTTTTATCCTTTGAAATTCAATAACCTTGCTCTTTTTAATCAGAATTTTTTCGTTTGTCTTCTTTGCTCATCAAGAGAAAAATTGTATTCGTTGACTAATTAAGGAAAATTATGTTTGTTGTCTGCTGAAAGTTGCATCTGACCTTCTGACCTTCACCATGTGTTATTATATGAAAAAACATATTTTTTCGCCAAGTATATAAAATAGTAAGATTGGAAGCTTCATTATATCCTTTTGGTATAATTACTTTCAAGAAAGTGATCAAAGCCCTAATTATCAATCTTAGTCTTATTTCAGATTTTACTGCATTTTGCAAACATGCATAACCCAGACCAGGCCAGGGCAAGGTTCTCAAAGCGACTGACCCAAAACGATGTAGACAAATGCCTGTTATTGTTCCATATCACTGCTGTTGCAGGTATGTTTACTTTCGATAAAGACCGTCTGTTTTGCTTGGACGTTGTTGGTCGCAGAGGGAAGGCATGGACTTTGCTGGCTTCGTTGCAGACCAATGAAGCCTGGGGATCTGTTTTTTCCATAAGCTGCCCAGAATTTGTCAGGGAATATGCCCTCAGAGAAAACGATGAAGTTATTTTCGTCAGACAGGCCCTGGACGATAACGGCAAAGTTCCTCAGATGAAATTCAAGATCCAAGTTAGGAGAAAAATTAGACTGTTTGGGCAGGACATTTGGGGTGAGGTGATGGTGTAAATGCGACGGGTTATGCCATTTTTCATAAGGAGCGACTTGAAATGACAGTAAATACGGTGCTGTATAAAGGGCACTGGTCCTGTCTTTGATGTTATCAACCAATGCTAGAATAAAGCCTGATTATGGTTCCAAAATATTTAATTACTCCTCGATCTCATCTAGTTACTCTTCGATATTAATTAAGATACACGTTTGCAAAGTGATTCAACTCTCTTAAAGCTATGTCAGTTAGTGTTAAATATAGAAAAATCAATTGTACATCATTTTTAGATCGACTAGTCTAACTTATTTTTTTAATTTTTATAGCAATTATAGAAAGTTTTCAGTTAAAAAAATTGTAAAGATAAGATTGTGTAATAAGATAAAATATTAAGAAAAATTTTTTTTTGTTAGCTCACTTATTCTTTACATTAACAAACAAATGGTCAGGATCACTGATACAAATTTAATTATAAATGAATTTGAAAACATAAAAACACATCGAACATAACTCATGAGGTCTAATGTGAAAATCTAAAATTATTTTTTTTATATTATATCTATTTATATTGATGAATTTAAAAATTTATATTTAAATTATTAATAAAAGTTTATATTATAATTTAATTTTATTTTAAAAATATTAATTTTTTGTTCAGAATCGACTCATTGACCCTATTTATGACCTTGTATGATTACTCACCACTTATATGCAATCTAGAATCGGTCACTATATGCATCCATGGAGAAAATCCTCGTAATATTATCTCAAGGATATGTATTCAAAACAATTGAGCAACCTAACACATTACAAAATCTATTGAGCCAGACCCATTCACAAACACTTCCTGCCTCGAGACTGCTTGAGGAAGCAGAGCCACTACCTGCATTCATTCCATCCAAATTTAAACAGCATCAGAGAACCTCACCCCTGAATTGCATATTAAACATCAGCATTAATCAAACCAGAACAACCAAAAGAACAAAGGGTCCTTATCTGAGCAGGTTAAAAACGTAGCAGCCACAAAAATCAAACTCACCCAGATTCCATCAACACTTGGACAGATACACGTTCTCCGCATTACTCCATGTAAATAGTTACTGCCAGCATAATTCATAATCATCACAGAAACAGCACAACCAGGGGGAGTCTCACCATGATTTCCCCACACATTAAGCTGCTCTTGGGCATCACCTAGCTCAATACAGTCAATAGATCATGTTCCCTTTGAACCCCGGCCTTTGCTAAACTATCCGCCAACTCATTTGCCTTTCTAGGTGTGTGGATAATTTTGCCAATTGCAAACTTGGGATCTTAAATTCTGTATATGCAAGATTATATTTCCCACTCCCCATGGTGTTGATGGAGGGTGTGCCTGCCATTTAACCACATTCGAGCTATTGCTTTCAACGAGAAAGTGAGACCTCGTCCATATAGAAGCAACAAAGATTAACAAAGCTTATCTCACTGCAAGTATATTTCAGCTAGGTTTGAATCTCCTATCTCCACGGACTCTGAGAAGATGATCTTAATGGATCCATTCTCATCACGCAAAATTCCTCTAATTTCGATCTCTCCCAGAGAACCCCTTGTTATTCTATCCATATTAAACTTAGGGCAACCACTTTATCAGGATTGCAGGTCACTTTAATCTTCTCCCTTTTATCCTTCTTATTACTAAAATAGTCTTTGGAAATAAAGATTTATTTAAAATTTTCTGAATAATTGGGAAATCTTTTAAGTATTACACAAATTCTAAATGAACTTTACTGCACTTTTCTAGCATAAAAAAATATATGTAAAGATTGAGAAGAAAACGATTGAATTGAATTAACTTTCGGCTTTTTATTGTTTCCCACTTTTAACTTGATATTTTTGCAGATCACCCTAAATAAATAGAAGGAAAGTGTTATTTAATTTTCTAATTTAAGGACTAAAGAATTCACATGTTCTGGAGAAAATAAATAGATAAGGGACATAATGTAAAAATACAAAAAGTATAGTGGTATATATGCAATTTACCGAGAAAGCTAGACTTTGACTTAGCATTCTCCGAAACGCGGACTGTTTATCTGCTTTCTTCGAACCGCCATTGACTCTGCTCAGAAATTGCATTTAAAGCGTCCGACACGCTTGGATACATATCTAGCATTGTATATATCTATATATACAACTTCAGCTGAAGAGAAAGAAACTAAAGAATTCTTCAGCAGCAGCAAAATTAGTTCATAAACTTTCTCCCTTTAATTGCAGAGTTGCTCTTAGAAAAACCCTTAATCTACAACCTGCAGCATGGCATTGTTCTCAAAGCCACTTACAAAAAGTGACGTAGAGAAGAGCTTGCTGATCCCTACTCATTCTTTCGACACCCTCCCTCTCGAAGAAGGGCAATTTTTTAATATGAATGTAGTTGATTCTGCTGGCAATGCTTGGACTTTTCCATGCTTCATTCAGCAGAATGATGAGATCAAAGGGCCATCTGTTATTTCCGTAGGATGGCTTAAATTTCTTCGCAATAAAGATGTTAGAGTTGGTGACACGGTTTTTTTTTATCAGATATCCTGGGATGACAATTGCACAGGGACGCAGTTCAGAATTGAAGTGAAGAGAAAAATCAGATTGCTTGGTCAGGATATCTGGGCTGCTGTGGATCAGTAATCGCGCAACCAAATTTACATATAGAAGTCAGCATGGATGATTTCTTTCAATAACTTCAATTGATTGTAGACCATTAGTAGGAGAATCATTCTTTGTACTAATCAAAATATATACATGATTCATTAATTCTTAATTCTTAATATATCTATATGTGTGTGTATACACATGTTCGTGCTTCATCTGGAAATTTAGACTCTCGAGAAATAATATATAACATTTTTTATCTTTTGGAAATAAATATGACGCTTTTTTATCAAGAGTTATTTCATTGTGTTAATTAGTAAGTATTTGATATTTGCTGAAAAAGAATTATAGTTTTCTATCTTTATTCATCAAGTGAAAAGTTGTATTTGCTTATTAATTAAGGAAAGTTACGTTTGCTGTTTAGTGGAAAATTGTGTCTCTTCACCAAGTGTTATTTTATGAAAGAACATATTTTTTCTCCAAATATATAAACCAGTGAGTTCGGATGCTTTCATTATATCTTATTGACATAGTTCCCTTTAAGAAAGTGACCACAGCCCTCAAAATCAATCTGGAGTTTAAGTCTTATTTCAGTGTTTACTACATTTTGCAAACATGCAAAACCCAGACCAGGCCAAGGAAAGGTTTTCAAAGCGACTGACTCAGAACGAGATAGAGAAATGCCTGGTGTTGTTCCCTATCACTGCTGTTGAAGGTATTTTCACTTTTGATGAAGGCCGTATGTTTTGCTTGGACGTTGTTGGTCGCACCCGGGAGGCATGGACTTTCATGGCTACCTTTCAGACCAATGAAGACATGGGATCTGTTGTTTCCATAAGTTGGCCACAGTTTGTCAGGGAAAAAGCCCTCAAAGCAAACGACGAAGTTACTTTCGTCAGACAGGCTCCGGACGCGAACGACAACATTCATTGGAAGAAATTCAAGATTGAAGTTAGAAGAAAAATCAGATTGTTTGGGCAGGACATTTGGGGTAATCTGATGGTGTAAATGCGAGGGGTTATGGCATTTTTAATAAGGAGCCACTTGAAATTAACGACAATTATGGCGATCTATGAAGGGTACCGCCCATGTCTTTCATGCTATTAAACAATGTTATCATAAAGCTTGATTTTGGTTCCAAAATCATTCATTTACTTCTCGATCCCATCCAGTTATCTACTCATTTTATTCTCATTTTGTAATAGCAATCGTACTTTACATTCAGTAAAAGTACATAATTTTAAGATGGCAAATTTGCTTCCCCTCGCGTCTAATCTGCCACCTTTCAAGTTGTTGCTTAGGTTCCTTTTTCTTCTTGTTTTCCTTTTGGTAGAAACTTTTTTTTTTAATTTTTTGATGTAGGGTGTAAACTTTATAATTGGGCCAACATGTCTCAGCAATATGAGTTAAGGGCATACCCCGTATCAATTAGAGTTGTATGATAATTTATTGGTACATATATACGTATTCTTGACCTTGTCAGAGTTATAATTGGGATGATGGTGAGCAATATCGATTAATTAATTTGTTAAGTGTAAGGCAAATTTTAAATCAATTTGTACCTTTTTTAGGAAATTTTATAATTAATATTTATATTTTAATTAAAAGGTCTCATTCGATTCCTAAAAAAGAGGGAATGGAGTATAAAGGATAGGGAGTGTTAAGTTTCAAGGAAAAAGCATAAGGACATTAAGCTAAAATGCCAAAAGCATAGGGACTTATGATCTTTGACCAACTACTTAAAATCTGTCAGAGTTGTAAAAGTAAAATAATGGAAAGTCTGGCTGATGTTGTATACTCTTTCGTCGAACCGCCATTGAAACTTTCTTGATTCTGCACAGAAAATGCATGTTAAAAAGTCAAATTAATGCGTTTGTTTAGCTATAAAAGTATAGACCTTCTGCTGGAAGGGAGAGCAAGTTAAGAATCGATCAGCAGCGGCAGCAAAATCTTAAGTATAGTTCAAAAACTTTCTTTAATTGATTTGTAATTGCAGAGTTGCACTTGGAAAACCTTGATTAGCCTGCAGCATGAAAATGATCTCAAAGCTACTGACAAATACCGACATTGAGAAGAGCTTGCTGGTCCCTGCTTCTTCTCTCAGTGTTCTCCCATTCGAAGAAGGTCATTTTTTTTATATCAATGTAATTGATAAGATTGGAGAAGGTTGGTCTTTTCCATGCTTCATTCAGCAAAGTGAGGGCATCGAATCATCTGTTGTATCAGTTGGTTGGCTCAAATTTCTTTGCGATAGAGATGTTAGAGTTGGTGATATGGTTTTTCTTCACCAGGAATCCATGGACGACGACTCTAAGGGTACGGGCGCTCAGTTGAAAATTGAAGTGAAAAGGAAAATCAGATTGCTCGGCGAGGATATCTGGGCTGCTGTGGAGTAATTGTGCAAGCAATCTCTTACATAAAGTGCTATATAAATATTTAAAAATAAAATATGTATTATTTTTTTTTCATATTGAGTTGTAACTTCAATTAATCATAAACAATTGGTGGGAGAATTATTCTTTAATGATCAAATGTGGGTGTAATTAGGTTTTTATTGATTTTCTAATGATTTTTTACTGATTTATATATATATATGTATGTATATTTACACATAACTATGTATAATACATGTTCATGCATGATCCACTATTGTCTAGTTGAATTTAAATAGGTTTTGTTTGATTGATATTTTTACTATTTTTTTTATTGTAAAAAGTAAATAGAAAAAATACAAAATATATTATTAAATATTAACTTTCTATATATACTTCGCATTGATCAACTAATTAATGGATCTACGCTTTTGACTTTTGCAAGGAGACATTCTTTGCCTGACATATATGTTTATATATGAGAATTTTTCCTATTTAATTAAAGTAGAAGAAATTAAGAAATTTTAATAAGAATGAATTTCTTTTCCACTATTTCATATAGTAGCGTAAAGAACTTCATCCTTATCAAAATGTCTATTAATAGTTTTTAGTCTATTCTTTTCTTTCAGGAATAGTCATTACCAAAGAGATTGATAATGGTTATTCCATTCTCCCTGAATGACTATTCTTTTGGACCAAATAAAATTTTAAGAAAGGATTAGAAATAGAGGGGAATATAGTCATTTCCCTCAATGAAACATGCTATAAAAGCTAGTCATGGTGTTATACTAAAATTTAAATCTTTTAACACCTCAATCAAATGCAACAAAACAACAATGATTTTTTTGAAAAAGACTAATAATTGTGATTTCCACTTGAGTCAAACTCAAGTAAAATGGCTATGGTTGAGCATTAGTACGCTCTTCTGGTGGAATAACTCATTTTTGATTATTAGTAGGCAAACAAAAAAAAAAGTATAAATTTAACTTATTCTATGACCTCAAAGGAAAAGTTTTAGTAGGAGGCAGATATTTTCGACATTTGCCTTGAGAGAAAACTTAATTGCATAAATCTAGCAACTACCACAATCTTGCCTCGCTTTTTCCCTGTGGAACACCGAATAGAAGTCAGAAACAGACAGGATTTAAAATCTAGAACTTTCCATTGGAAACATGGAAAATGAGATGGAAATTTTGAGAAAAATGAGTTAAGAAAAGAGAAATACAAAATTCACAACTACAAGAATTTTGTAAATACATTGGCATGGAAGTGAAGGTTTCTAAGATATCAAAAGAAAGAAGTGTAGACTCAAAATCTCGCAAGAGTCAACATTCCAATACCAGAAACTTTCCAGGAAACAAACTCTGAAACTGATTATATATATATAGAGCTAGCGTGCAGAACATATTGCTGAATGTTCAAAGGTAAACATTGTAGAACTTTGGCTGCAGGTTAACATATGAAGCTCTTCTCAAAGTTACTTACTAAAACTGATATCGAGAAACGATTGTCCGTGCCAACCCATATCTTGCACTTGTTTCCCTTCCTCGATGGAGATCGATTTGCTGATTTGCAAGTAAAGGACAGCAGCGGAGGATTATGGACTTTCCGATGTATTTGCCGAGATGGAACTTACGCAAAACCTGTTTTTTCTAAGGGGTGGCTTGAATTTGTCTATGCAAAAAACCTCCAAATCGATGATGAGGTTGCTTTTTATAAGGATAAAGACATGGAAGCTGCAGTTCCATATAGAATTGAAGTTAAAAGAAAAATCATGAGGTTAATGGGTCAGGATATTTGGATTGAGGTTGAGCAACTACACTTATATGGTTTATCTTAGATTATATACCAATTTTTGCCCAGATTATTGTTTTCTATTTCTAATTTGCCCTATCAAATTATTTGTATCCTGATATATGTAATCCTCATAGAAGAGAGAATACTTGATTAATGTCATACCTTTTTGTTGATGGATCAAAGTGTAAATTTTTCTTATTTGATTTTTATCATGAGTAAATTATTCCTCACCCAAAGAAGCAGAACAAATTTGATGCAGAGTAACAAGAAAGAAAAATACATAAACAACGAGAATACTTACAGTAGAAGAAGGAGACCCCAGCATTCACACATTCTTTGTGTTTAGAGGCTTAATTTGTCAGCAAACAGCAGGCAGGCCTTTCACACGGTCGAGATTTATGTGCGCACTTAAGGAGACAAATTTGTATAAGAATGTAGAAAATATGCTTTAGCATGAGTTGAGCCTCAAAGGTTTGTTGGCGGTCAAACAATAGTTGATCGATTGATGCTGGGCCCATTGAAACTGACCCTTCACCAATCGGAGGTTTACGTATCCCCTCTCAAACTTTGCTTTCATTTGTTTATTGGTGCCGTCAAACTTGTTCAGCCATTCAAGGAATTTATGCAGATTGCTTTAATTTTAAACTAATCTGTTTCTCTGCATATAATTTCCATGGATGGGTTATATTTGAAAACATTTTTTTCCCAGTGAAGAGATCTTCACATGAGATTAAATGGTTAATTTTATCTACTACAATATTATGAAAATACTTTTAATTATAAACAGATAGACTAATCTTGAATTGAGGGTGTTTTGATAATTTTATTTATCAAAATTAATAAATAATCTCTTGTCTGAATAAAAGTTATTGATGGAATGTGAATTGAGAAAAATAAATATTTACGTGGTATTAATTAAAAAAATAAACTATAGAATCATGTGAAAAAGTTGAAATTACAAGAAATATAAAAAGAATTTATCCAAAAACTTTAAAGCTGTTGACTAACAACAATGAGAAATGGCAACATCCAAAAAATACTAATGTAAAAATTGAACATTGGATCACTTGAAAGTATAAACATTTATCAGATTTTCATTGTAAGATTCCATTTATTATTTTGTTCAAATGAAGATTTAGTTTTTAAAATTTTATTTATTTAAGAAAAATCGATAACGAAAATTAGCGTACAGAATTAATAAAAGTAATGGGTACTCCGTTAATAAATATAAATTTCAATGTTTTAATATTATTAAATCTGGTGAATACCCATTATAGGAAAGAAGGGGGGACGAGCTGGAGTTGTAAAAGTCTAGGATCATTATCCTCAAAATGTCCAACACGGAAACAACCTGCAGGATCCGAATCAAGAACTTGCATAGCAAGCAGCTTGAGACATGGATGGGGCCACAGTGGCCCCGCAATGGCCTCTGTTTTCAAACCTTCAAGGGCAACATAGACGATTGATAGGCCGTCGGGTCCTTGTCACTGGTCCCTTAGAGCCGTCCATTATTAAACTACTGAAAAAAAATGAAGGATAGAAACCTCAATAGATTTTGCAATTTAAAATGGAAGTGAAGTTCAGTCATTCAATGACGTATAAATCAAGCTTCATTGCATAGCCCGAAGCCAGGAACTAATCATTCTGCACCCAGAATGAAGCTCTTCTCTAAATTACTGTCTCAGACGGATATTCGTAAAAGATTATCCATTCCAATGAAAAGCTTTCAATCTTTTCCACGTTTTAAAGCTGCCCATGCTCGGAATTTGCAAGTGAAGGATGAGAGCGGGGGTCTCTGGCAGTTTCGTCTCTGCATTCGCAAGAAGAATTATTTGAAACCAGTGTTTTCCACAGGTTGGGGCAAGTTTGTTCAGTCCAAGAATCTCCAGGTTGGGGATAAAGTGAAGTTGTACAAGGAGGCAGATCAAGCTTCGGGAGCACAGTTCAAAATTAAAGCCAAGAGGGCCGTCAAGATTTTTGGGGTTGTTTTCGGGTATGCGAAAGCTTGATTTGCATATTCCATCGGAATGCACTGCACGGGGCATGACGTTTTGACCATCTCCACCTTTCTGTTTGGTTGAGTTTAAAACAAGTGTGAACGAGTTTAAGAACTCGTGAGTCCTAATTTTGTAAGTTTATAGTACTACTTTTATGTGAAACAGTGTGCTTCCCTGCTTCAGTGAGGAATGGAAGCAAGCACAGTTTTGTCAGAAATGCACTGCGACCTAGATTAAAGTGAACGAAAAACGTTGGCTAGTTTTTGTTTTCTAATTTGTCTCCTTGCTTGAAAGTTATAAAGTAGTTTCTACCTCAATTTGGCTCTTCTATAAAGATGATATCTTGCAGTCTTTGCTGTTTTCCGATTGGCATTTGGGGAAATTGAATCCAACCAGAAACCTTAACCAAGTTTTTATCAAAGGAATGCCTTAGAATATTTGTTTACTCAACCAAGTTTTTCTTGATTGGTTTATAGTCTCCAAGACATTGATGCTGATGCAATTAATAGGAAATATAGGAGTGTAATTCATTTTGATGAAAGTGGGCAAAAATTTCACTTATCAGCTTTTGGAAGTTACGCTCGTTAAGAAATTGACTGACTTTGCATAATTAATTGAGTGGATAATGTTTATTAATGCTTATCTGTAAGTATTAGGCTTCAATTCCGTCTTGGTTCAATATCAAAGGCATCCACCTAACTTTAACCCTTTCCACAGTTAACTTTTAATAGTAACTCTCACTTTCTTCTCAAGGATTCGGTCTCAAATTTCAAGAACTTAAAACATGATCATAAAATCATTCACCAGTAATTGATCCCAAATTTTTAATACAATTGTTAAGGAATTTTATCAATCAAACTAGCAAACACCTTTGAATTAGATTTTTTGTTTTTTGGGCCGGAATCAGAAATTTGTATTAATGCAGCTATGTCAACTATACATCCATTTCCTTTGAATACTTAGGACACTAATTTGAGGAAACAATCTCCTCTTTGCATCCTAGGTTAAGACCAATTATCTAGTGGTGCAGGTAGCCCATGGTAGAAAGTTGATTTTGATTACTAACTTATTATATCTTTGAGAATTGTTTTACAACAAGTGTAATGCTATACAAAGAAAAATGAGAAAACTACAACAAGTGGAACAACTACTTTACATGGATAATAATGAAAGCAATCGAAAATAAATAGCAGAGTTTATAGATTACTTTCATCTTGAAATATTTTTGAGAGTTTGGCTTGTTAATTTAAACATAAAAGTAGTTAAAAGATCTTTTTTTTAACCTTTTTTATGTAATACTAGTGTTTCTCTTTCTTACCCTTACTTTATTTTCTTATATCTTTTTACTAATATTTTTTTTCTTACCTTATTTTTTTATATCTTTTTACGTACATTTTTTTCTCTTTATCTTATTCTCTTATACCTTTTGACATACATTTTTTACTTTTACCTTTTATTCAATAATAAGTCTTATTACATTTTTTTTGAAAAATATATTTTATTGACCTCAACAGCAACAAGCCATTTCAAGTCTCAAGTTAATTTGCAAGAGACTCTCATGACATAAAAGGTAGGAGAGGGAGAAGAGTGCCTGTACAATTTCCAAATCGGATTTGCTACTTAAAAAACTTGGTAGCGTCATAAACCATGAGACTAAATTGCTAGCCCTAACAAAAGACCAAAAAAGCAAGCTTGGCTGTGAAAGTAATAAAATTCAGCCATAAAAGATCAGAACCAAAACCCAAACACCATCCTAACTTTCTTCTACTTAGTCTTTCTCCCTCCTATTCTCAACATTATTCTATCACTTGTTTATTCTCTACCTATTCTTGATCTTACTCTACTGCTTTGACAATTTGATTACTCTATCGCTCGTTTATAATTCACTGATTCTCAACTATTACTCAAATACTCACTTATTTTTTTTCACTTATCATAACACTTAGTATTTCAAAAATTGCTCCAACTTCCTCTTGTCGCCTCCAATGCATCTGTTTACTTATAGCTAACATTTCCTCTCCTCATCACAAAGAATCCCTTTGCACCCGTCTTTCCATAGAATATATAGGCCAGGACTAATTTGAGGATGGAGGTATATCTACCTAATTTGAGAAGCTCACCCACCTTTTTGATTGACTTGCAACCGATCAACAGCTTTATTTGCTTTAAACTCATCCTACCATCACCAAATCTTTTCCTCAATGCTTGTACATTTTTCCCTAGGGGCAATAGTTTCCATTCTAAACATAATTTATTTGAAATAAGGCATACAGACATTCCATTTTGTCTAGTATTGTTTATTATAAATTTTGAGAATAATTCGAAGTATTCATTCTTGATTGGTCTAATTTTAGCTTTTTAGGATTAATTTTATTTGAGCATTAATTGTGTTGGCTATGGGCTTAATGAACCATTTTGGGCTTATTGACTAAATTATTAGGGTGAGCAATATTGAACTAAATCAATAATTCAATCGAATTGAATACAATTTGGGTAAAACGGTTAAATTTGATTGGTCCATTAGATCTATTAGTTTAATTGATTTATTTGGTTAGTTCTCGATCCTAAAATTTTTGGACAGAACCAAAAAAGACTAAATTAATAATATATATTATTATAAATAATATTTTATATATTTTAAATTTATATAAAATTTATATTTTTCTATTACTAAGTTGATATATGAAATGGTTGATTATTTTGTGTTAGCTGATTTTATTTTGTAAATGTTAATTTTATTATCTTTGATTTATTGCATCTTAAATATTAGACTTTAGAGTTAAAAACTTTTGAATGTTAATTTCATGGCTTATATGAAAGGATGTAATTATGTAAGTGAAAGGACAAATGTTATATTTTTTTTGTATGTTTAAATTATTTGTATATTTTATAATTATGGATGAAGTTTATAAGTTTCAATGTTGTAATTTGTAAAAAAATAAAAATGCTAAAATTTTGATTCTTTTGGTTCAAAACCAAACTGATTGAACTAATTCGATGTTTAGTCAATTCTATTCTTCCTTTAAGTTTGATCGATTCTAGTCGATTTTTTAAAAATATTTAGTTCATTGGTCTTTAGTTATGACCGACCAATAGCTCATCCTTACAAATTATAAGCTTAGGGTCCAAATTGAAATGAATCCATTTTTTACAATTAAGAGTCCGTTTGGTAACCAAAAAATAACATGTTGGAGGAAAATTTTTATGCAAAATATTTTACAGAAGAAGTTAATGTTTTCTATTGTTTAAATAAACTATAGAAAACATTTTCTATTGTTTAGATCATTTTATGAAAAATATTTTCCATTATAGTAGAGTTATTTAGATGTTAAAATAATAAATAGAAATTGATTACAAAACAATATTGATATTTGATTTTCATTAATTTAGGATCAAAATTAAGAATAGAAATGAAAATAGATAAAATCAATAATGATATTTCCTAAAGTATTTAACCACATATCTATAATGAAAATAAAATCTATTTTTCAAAAAATTTTCCATTTTATCACTATTTTATCATAACTATAAAAATATAAATATTTATCAATTTTGTAAAATATATGAAATTTATACTTATAAATATGTATTCATTAAATAACGATCATTAAAATATTTTTTTATTATAATTATTAGTAAGATTTAAATCTACCATAAATGTGTATTCATCAAATAATGATCATTGAAATATTTTTTATTATAATTATTAGTAAGATTTATTTCATTTATAAATAAAAAATTTAATTGTATTGAATGGTTTCATTAAAAAAATATTTTTTAATTTTAATTGTGTTGTATAATTTAAATATTGATATTTTAAATTATTTTTTTTCAAGTCAAACATTAATATTTTTATTTTTTTAATGTTTTAAGTTAAATATTAATATTCATCAAACTTAGTGCCTATTTAGCCTAACTTATTTTTAGTTCATCTACTTCTTAAAAATAGAAACTATGTCAAACAATATTTTGTTAAAAGCTCTTAAAAAATAACTTTTTTTAAAAGATAAATTTTTTTAAAAAAAACTTAAAAAAAGCTACAAATAGGAGCTTTCTCTTTTTTTTTTTTTTTTAAAAAAAACATGCCTGCTTCTTAGAAGTATCTTTTTTTTTTTCAAAAAATCCTCTAAAAAAATACCTCCTCCCTCTCTCCCTATTGATCTCCATCTTCTCTCCACTTTTTGTAAATCATCTTTCTAAAGTTTTTTTTATTGTTACAAAATTTAAAAGGAAAAAAATTCAAAATTCAAAACTGCATTTAGAAATTATTTCTTCTTTTTCTTTCTGTTTTGTTTTTCATTTTATTTTTTATCATTCTTTTTTTTTTGGCTTTGAAAATTCTTTTTATTATTTAATATTCTCAATTTATCGTTTGATATGATAATTATGTGATATTTATTTGTTATTAACTTCTTATATAATATTTGTTGATTGTGATTGAAATAATTAATCAAATAAATCAATAGTTATTGAGATAAATTAGATCAAAATTAAAAAGTTAATATTTATACTCGTTTGTGGCAGCTCAATTTTAAAGAATTTTTTGTTAAGTATAACAATATGCTGCATTATAATAAAATTGAAATAAATTTTAATTACTTTGACACCAAGAATTGCAAAATCCCTAACTTGTTAACAGTGAATTCCACATTTGACTTAATAGTAACCAATAAATGATGTAGCACTTATTAACAAAATAAATAACCAATTAAAAAGTAAAAAAAAATATAAAAGTTAAAATCTTTTTGTTTATAGAGGAGAACTTTATTGATAAAGACATCAAGACTTTGATAGATTTGTATTTGTATGGAATCAATGATGATGATTTCAATAGGAAAATAAATTGTCAAATCAATAGATAGTTTTTCTGACCTAGTTGATACATTATTAACACCAAATTGAGTTCTTTTCTTTTCATGTAACATCAATTTGTTTAGTTTCAAAGATCTTAAATTTCAAATCAATTTTTAAAACGTAACAACAAATATTTTTTTCGCACTCATTTTTTTATTTGATTCAATTTTTTACCTGATTTATTAAATATCATTTATAATAATTTTAATTAAAAATAAAATTTATATAAGTTATTGTGTCAAATAATTTATCTATAAAAAAACTTACAAAAAATAAATTTACCAATCAATTTTAATTTAATTTTAAATTTTTTTTATAAAAACTTTATAATAGGTTTTAAACTAAAAAAAATCAAGCCCAACATGAGGTCATGCTCATAAATTTAGAATAAAAATGTTTTTGTATGTAAAATATTTTCTGTGATTAACCTCGCTGAGTCATAAAATATTTTACAGTTGAAATTAATTTATCAACTTCTAAATAAGAATCAATCTTGAAAATATTTTTTAAAAAATAATTTACTGCAAAACAAAATCAAAATAAAACAAAAACAAAAACATTAAGAAAAAAAAAGGGAGAAAGAAATCCTAAAAAAAAATGGAAAGGGATAAAAACCCCTCCTCTGACTGCAACACAAGATACCACACGAAAAATCCACAACAAACAATCACAAGACCACAAAAAAATAGGGGTAAGCATTTTAGGTTTGAAGGTTTTATGGAGTTTTATGGCCAAACTAATCGATGGAAAAGATAAGAGAGAGAGAGAGGAAGAAATCAAGGTTGACTGGGGCAAACTTTGGTCGACTAGATCTATATTTTTAGGGGGACTTAGTTTTCTTTAGATTTGGAAAAGTAAGAGGTTTTTTTGATAAATCCATCCCAATTAAAGGATAAAGGAGGTTTAAAGGAAGCAAAAGGCAATTTTTGGGGTGGAAAGAACGTCGTTGAGCAACGATCGACAATGATAGGCGATGGTAGACGACGGGTTTGGTTGTCGGTATCTGGGTTTGTGGGTGTCGAGAGAGAAGCTTTAAGCTGCAGAGAGAAAGGGCCTGGGGAACGTTATTTGAAATATTTATCGTAGGTGTCAAACGGTATCGTTTTGGGAAGGAAAAAAATGGGGTGAACCAGTGTTGTTTTAGGTTCGTAATAAGAAGCCTACATGACGTCGTTTCAGCCGAAAAAGGGCAACAAAAGGGTTAAACGGTGTTGTTTTTTCCCTGGTTGTAAGGAGCCTAAACGACGTCATATCAGGATAAATAAAAAAAAAAGGAATAAGGAAAGGACTTATTCAGTCGAATCCGACTAGACTCCACCCAAAGCTGATTAGGCCCAACAAGACCTAAACAATTTTGGACAAATTTAGGAGCCCATTGGAGGTACATTTTTCTACACCTTGTTTTATAGTTCTTTTAATTTATTTTGTTATTTTATTTTATATGCTCACCTTATTTTAAGTCAAATTGTATAATTAGCTTCTATATGTTATAAAAAAATTCAAATTTAATCTCTAAATAATAATTTATATAAATTGAGTCTCTATTGTTTTATTTTTTTAAATTTTTGTCCAAACTTAACATCGTTAAATTTTCACTATTAAATATGTTGACATGACATTTTAACCAAACTAACATAGCATGGATTAAGATAATATGCGATTTTTTACCGACATGGCATTAACTATATACTAACATGGAATTTATTATACGAACATAGCATTGATTGGAGTGACAATAATATATATTGATATGGCACTTGCTAATGGCCAAAAAATATTGCTCATCTTAATTTAAATCAAATTATACAATTAGCCTCATATTTTATAAAAAAATTCAAATTTAATCTTTGGACAATAATTTGTATAAATTGAGTCTTTTTACTTTTTTATTTTTTTTGATTTTTGTCCAAACCTAAAGTTGTTAAATATATTGACATGACATTTTGACCAAGCTAACCTGATATTGATTAAGATAATAGGGGATTTCTTGCTGATGTGGCATTGACTATATGCTAACATGGAATTTATTATACAAACATGGCATTGATTGGAGTGACAACAATTTATGTTGACATGGCACTTGCTCATATGGCCAAAAAATCGTCACATTATCTTCATCAATATTATGTCAGCTTGATCAAAATATCATGTCTTCCGTATTTAATGATAAAAATTTAATGATGTCATAGTTAGATTAAAATTAACAAATTGAAAAAATATAAAGACTCAATTTACATAAATTATTATATAAGGATTAAATTTATTTATTTTCATTGAGTATAGGTACTAATTGCATAATTTTGTCTTTAATTTATGAAGTTGTTTAAAAAATAGTAATAAAATATTTATACATGATAAAACAAAATTTCTAAGTAAATAAGGTTAATATTTAAAAATAATTATTATTTAGGAAAAAGTCCCTTGAGAAAAGAAGATAATAAGTTTAATATGTAAATAAGCCTTATTCATGTCTATTTTTAACCTCATTTGGCCATTTCCATACATTTTCCCTTTCTTCAATCCCAAATATGAAAATTCTCACTAGCGACCAGAATATTGTCTTGTACCTGTTTTCCTTCCAAAAAAGCACCTTGATTTTCAGTAATCAGTTCACCCATAAATGGTTTTAACCTATTTACCATTATTTTTAATATTATTTTATATACAAAGTTACACAAACTTATAGGCCTAAACTGAGACAACTCCAAACGATCCTTAGTTTTTGGTATTAGTACTACGTTGGTTCTGTTAATCTCCGTAAACATACAGTCATGCTGAAAAAAACTCTCTATTGCATTGATAACAATGCCTCTGAGAATAAAGAGGTTCCATTGTAATTGTAGCCATAAGATCTTGGTGCCTTCAATACCCCAGGCTGAAAAGCTGCATGCATTATCTCTTCTTCTGACTCATTATTTATTAACAGATTATTCATTTCTTCTCTTATTAACTGAGGAATGCAATTTAAGGTATGCCCCCAATTCCTGTTTCTATTATAAAAAAACAGTTCCATATAATATGCTTCACACCTTGCTAGTAATAGAAAGTCCAATCAGAATCCAAGATACATAATAGAAAGTCCGATCAAGAGGCAAGTAAATTTATTTAATTTGAATCTGCACGAAAAATTGATATTTTGTGAACAGCAGCCTTCTTATCTCTCAGCTCAAAGATGCAGACGTCTCCTTCCTTCAAATTATTCTCTCTCCAAAATCTATAGCATCCCTTTCTTAAAAGAAAGCCAAAATTTCTATGCCTTTTGAATTCAATAAGCCACTCTCTTCCATCAGAATCCTGAACTCTGATATGATCTGCAACCCCACTCAAGTACTCAATATCAAACCCAGCTGGTACATGCTGCACAAGGAGATGGATATAGCAAGTAAGGCGTAATTTCTAACAGGATATGAAAATTTTCGCCACAAAGTTTTTTTATCTAGAGGCTTACCATAGTAGAGGAATCAAAGTTACTGCGCCGCAAGACAATCATGAAACAAGGATTCATAGGCTTGATCACTTCCACAGCCCTGATAGCCCTCTCTCTATCACGGGATGTTGAAGAAGTACCAAAAAACATCCTACTAACATATATTTCAATTTCTTCGTCTTGTATTGACCCATGCTCTTGTTTACCTGCATTTCATGTAATTACTGATGAAGAAACAAAATATCTTTTAGCTATATAATACAAATATGAATATGCAAGGCTTACCAGATTCAGTTTTTTTATTTGCTTCATTACCTTTGTGCATTGCTTCTAAGCTCTGCAGATTAGCTCTTTGTATAGTTATCTTAAGTTTCTTCCCATCAAACTGTTGTTTCAGGTCTTGAAGTTGAACAGATAGATCCTGATCATGTATACCCGTAGCATTCTGATTCATCAGGGGACATTTGCTAGGCGGTAATCTGTGAGATTTGCGAAGCTGTTTTATCTTCGAATTAATTTGCCTTGATTCATTCAAATTATCAAACTCCGCCTCTTCGGTCTTACATCTTTTGACTCTAGTTTCTTTGTCCTGTTTAACTTCAGAATTCTTGTGTGAAGCAGCATCTCCTTGAGGCTTTCTGACCAAATGCTGCTGAGATGATGCATCCTGCTTTCCGCTGATAGCTTCTCGGTTTGCCCTTTCATTCAAATTCCGAGCTTTGACACCTAAAAGCTCAGGTGAATCGTCCTCTTCTGTTTCACTATCTTGGTGAATTGAGCGTTTCTCGCTCTCACCATCAGTGAGCTCCTCATCATTACTTGGAACATAACTTGGATAGTCAACCTCGCAAGCACTATTATCAAATATAATAACGTGGAAAGTGGAATCTTTTCCATATCTAAAGACCAGAAAATACCCACAGCGGATTGAATTATACTCAACAAATTCATGCCAACCATCATCAAGCCAAATTCTGTCATCAGCCTTTGTTAACCTTATCTCCCATTTTCTTCCACTGGGAAGAACGAAAGTAGCAACACTGGAAAGTTCATGCCCAAATTTCCCAACAAACTTGTTCGGAATTTTCTGCAGATACCAAATTAAGTATTATAGCTATTGTCATGAACAAGTCTTTCACAATCTTGTTAACGTATGCAATTGAAAACCAGATTATTTCAACAGAACTATGTAGGATATACAAGTTACGCCTTGATTAAGGTTTTGGTTTCTAACGACCAAAAAAACCGAAAACAACCCAACAACGTCCGACCCAAGTCGAAAACAAAACCCACAATTTCATCCTCAAACTCAGTTCACTTTCAAACTTAATTGATGAAACCCATCGTTTTCAGTTTTGTATATTTAACCCTTTTCTTCTATTTATCACTTAGCTAAAAACCCTTATTGGCAAAAGGATTAAAAAGAAAATACATTAGTTAAGGGAAGAATTACCAGCTTCTTCTCTGCAATTGTATGAGGAAGAATTATCTTGAAAAAGTGCAACGATTCATCCACCGCATGATTTGAACGTGGTCTCTTTCTTGTTCGATGAGCCATTAAGTTGCAATTAGGTTGGGAATTAGGAGGGATAGAAAGAGAAAGATTTGATAAAACCCATAATTATTAGGAAATAAATTTGTAATCTTGATTTAATAATATTACTATTAATATTATTATTTTATATACTTAAGTTAAGACATAAATTTCTTTTTAACTGTTCATACCCTATTTCATCTAAAGCAATGCTTCTTAGCTTGAGAGGGTAAAACCATAAATCTCGTAAACTGCTAATAACCTTTTCACTCGTATTCTTTTTCTCCAAAATATTCAAAAATGAAAAACCTGTATTCTCAAATCTTTCTTGCCATCTTCTGTAACAAAACAAAAAGTCTTATATTTTGAAATTGTATATTGTTACAGAGATTATATATAAAACTATAATTAATGCTGCATTATTGAATTTATTCAATTATGTTAACATTTTCAATCTGAAGGCTGAGCACGACAAATAACAGGAAATGGAGCCTTGAGAGTATACTGGGAAAATATGGAATATTTACAGCATAAAATTTCTAACATGAAGAGTATAGCTTTCTACACGGATTTAAACTGAACATAGTTCACTTTTCTCTTCACATTCAAACATCAAACAGCATTCCCAAGACACATAAAAAGAGTAACTACTCATCAAACTCTCACTTGTTTATTTTTTTCACATTAAAACACCTATAAGCATTGATATACACAGACAAGTAGAGCCAGCTCCTGCAAACACAGGAAAGACCATTCAATTGTTAGATATCATTGAAAATTTCAAACTTTTAGTTTCAAATTATGAAATTGAACATGGAACAATAGCAGAGTGGATATTGGTCAATAAAGCAGCCAAATCAAGTTACGTACAATATGATAAAACCTTTATCCTCATTCCTTCTATTTCTTGGAATCTTAGCAAGTTACTTAAATCTCTAGGTAAATATATGAAAACGTTATACTGCCCCAGTCAATAGTTATTGTTATTCTATTTATCAATTCACTGTGTCATAAGCCAAAAAAAAAAATTGCATTATATACTCCTACTTGCTTTAACAGAAAAGCTTACAACATAAATTAAAGTAAATCCAATATGAATAAACAGAGCATCAGGAAAGGAAAGATGTACCTGATACACTTTAGCTAGTAAAAGAACAAATTACCGGATTATAGTTTGTTCACTGGTCCTGCATCTTCAAGAACTCGGAATATGGTAACTTTCAGCACAATCTCCTGTGTGCTAATCAGCTCAAATACACAAACATCCCCTTCATCTAAATTATTATCCAAGACAAATTCAGCCCATCCTTTGCAAAACTTCAGATGGCCATCCACATGGATACACCGAACAGGCCACTTTTTCCCTTCAGATACCTGAAGTGTGATAGTGCCATTAACTCCATTCAGATGTTTCCTGGCAAACCATCGAGGGATATGCTGCAGAAACAAAAGGAGTGGCAGCTTTAGGATACAAGAATTGCAAAGCTCAGTCAAAAAATTATACCAAAGCATTCTTTCATGGGCTTACAAGGAGTATTCCCTTGTACACATAGGATGGTCGCAAGATAATCCTACAGAAAGGATTGTCGGGCTTGAACGTTGCAGCTGCATGAAATGCACTTTGTTTTTCTTCTGTCGTCACATCTCTCCATCTCCTGGCAATATTTCTTGGAGTGTTCACGGCTGGCAGCTCTTCCTCTTGTTCGTCTATATCTTTCAATGAGTTAGGACGAATAAAGTCAACTAGGAACACCCTATAAAGAAAGTTTTTAAGTTCGTGGAGCTTACTAGGTTCAGTTTCTTGTTTTATCTTTCTGGTTATCCGATGTGTTTCATTCAAGAAATACGGTCCACCTTCATCTGCGGGGCTTGTAAGTTCAACCACATTAAGCTGAGTGCCTTTGCCTTGAGTCAATTGAAATGTGGCTTGTAAATCACGCATATCATTTTTCTGATGAAGGTTTTTCAGATCAGCCCCACATGTAGTGTTCTTATGTTTCTTCCTATCATGATCTAGGCATTCATCAGAATCTTTATCAGTCAAAAAGTATGAACTTGAACATTTTGGGCAAGAGCCCATAATCTGAGCAAGATCACCATCTTCTATGTTTTTTACATGCTCATCAGGACTTGGTTCTTCTGAATTATTTAAACCATTAGATAGATAGTTTATCTCTGAAGCTGCCAGATTATACACATGAACATTGAAATGTGAATTCCCTTCGTATCTGAAGACCAAGAAATACCCAACGCAGATGGAGTAGTATTCAAGAAATACATTCCAACCGCTGTCAAACCACATCCTTCTTCTATCTTTCATCAATTCCACTAGCCAGAACCGACCACTGGGGGTAGCAAGTGTAACAATTGAAGAGAGTTCATCACCATATTTCTTAACAAACTTATGTGGGATCCTCTGTGAGTAGAAAAACCAAGTCAAAGTCTGTTTCAACCTAGAATACACTTAGAAAAGAAGAGGAAGTTTCCCTGAGCAGAATCAAGGAAAGTCCATATTATGGTTCAACAGTCAGTTTTATTGCTGAAGAAACAAACACAAAAAGTTTTCATTGTTGGAATATTGCAGCTGAAAAGCAAAATTGTCAGGCTAACTTGTCCTAGTTTATGAAGTAGAATAGTAAAAAAGGTGCCCATATTTGAGAAAAAGATATAATGTGAGCCATATAATGCTTCTAACTGTCATTGATGATAATTGAATCCATAGGGCATTATAATAATCACAACTTGCAAGCCACTTGCAAAACTTAAATAAAATTATTGATGGACAGTACCTAAAGAACAGATTTCTGCAGCAATAGAAAATGTAAAATCCTATGCCATGTAAAGGTCCAAGGCCAAAACATAAAATACTGAGGAAAGCTACACTTATTATGGACAAAAGGAAAAAGAAACATACAATATATTCAAGGCCAAAAGAAATTTAAAAAGATCACTAGGAGTCCGACTGGTTCAATGAAGAGATCAATACGATATAAACAAGACAGTGAAGCAAGCAAAAAAGTATGTAACCAAATTATGCCAACTAAAAAGCACAAAAGAGAAATATCCCAAAAAAAAAAAAACATGTATCCAACAGGGCCCAACCCCACATACACACACACAGAATAAACAATAAAGAGGGGGTAAAGTAGAAATGTGAACAGTTTAATCTTTTCGAATCAGCTTTTCCCAGCAACCAAACGACGTTTAAACTTTCAAGTACTTTTCTCTTCCCCTTTAATTAAAGTCTCAGAGTAGATAGACTTGATGATGATCCAAGCCATTGTTGCAACTTGGAAATGTGTAGACCAAAATGGGTTGATTTTGGTGTAAAAACCTTCTCTTATTTCTTATCAACCAAACAAAAAAAGAACCTTTCATGCATAACCCAGCAAAATCTTGCTCAAAGCAAACAAATAAATAAATAACCCAAAAGTTGTAAACTTTCCCAGAGACCAAACAAAAATAAAAATAAAAAGGTAGGAAGTAAGAGAACTTAACTAGCTTCTTGTCTTGAAGAATGGAGGACACGATTAACTTGTAGAAGATGCAGGGTTTCTTCTCAGGCAAAGCTGGACCCACTGGCTGTGACATTGATTTTCTTTGGAGTAGCTGGGATTTCTTTGACGATCACAAACTCAGACAAAGACATGATCAACAATTTTTACGTTACTTTTTATGCCATAAGATTTTCTTTTTTTTTTTCCTTTTCCGGTTCCAACTCCCAAACTTACACTGTTTCCAGTGGGGTCCAACCACAACTGAAGCCACAATCAGATACATCAAAATCTAGTGGGATTTGAGTTGTACACATTAATAGGCCTGGTACAATTTGCCATATTTTTAGTTAGACTCCTAGTGATCTTTTTAAATTTCTTTTGGCCTTGAATATATTGTATTTGCTTTTCCTTTTGTCCATAATGAGTGTAGCTTTCCTCTTTATTTTATGTTTTGGCCTTGGACCTTTACATGGCATAGGATTTCACATTTTCTATTTCTGCAGAAATCTGTTCTTTAGGTACTGTCCATCAATAATTTTATTTAAGTATTGCAAGTGGCTTGCAAGTTGTGATTATTATAATGCCCCATGGATTCAATTATCATCAATGACAGTTAGAAGCATTATATGGCTAAAATTTTATCTTTTTCCCAAATATGGGCACCTTTTTTACTATTCTACTTCATAAGCTATAGGACAAGTTAGCCTGACAATTTTTGTATTTCAGCTGTAATATTCCAACAATGAAAAGATGTTGTGTTTGCTTCTTCAGCAATAAACTGACTGTTGAACCAATAATATGGACTCTCCTAGATTCTGCATCAAGGGAACTTTCTCTTCTTGTCCAGTTGTATCCTATATTGATACAGACTCTGACTTGGTTTTTGTACTCACAGAGATCCCACATAAGTTTGTTAAGAAATATGATGATGAACTCTCTTCAATTGTTACACTTGCTACCCCAGTGGTCATCACTGGCTAGTGGAATTGAAGAAAGATAAAATAAGGATGTGGTTTGACAGCGGTTGGAATGTATTTCCTGAATACAACTCCGTCTGCGTTGGGTATTTCTTAGTCTTCAGATACGGAGGGAATTCACATTTCAATGTTCATGCATATAATATGGCAGCTTCAGAGATAAACTATCTATCTGATGGTCTAAATAATTCAGAAGAACCGAGTCCTGATGAGCATCTGAAAAACACAGAAGATGGTGATCTTGCTGAGATGATGGGCTCTTGCCCAAAATGTTCTAGTTCATACTTTTTGATCGATGAAGATTCCGATGAATGCCTAGATCGTGATAGGAAGAAATATAAGAACTCTACATGTGGGGCTGATCAGAAAAACCTGCATCCGAAAAACGATATGCATGTTTTACAAGCAACATTTCAATTGACTCCAGACAAAGGCATTCAGTTTAATGGGGTTGAGCTTTTAAGTACTGCAGATGAAGGTGGACCGTATTTCTTGAATGAAACATAACAAATAACCAAAAAGATAAAACAAGAAGCTGAACCTAGTAAGCTCCATGAACTTAAAAACTTTCTTGATAGGGTGTTCTTAATTGACTTTACTCATCCTAACTCATTGAACGATATAGACGAACATGAGTTGTTAGGCGAAGTTGAAGTGAAAGAAGAGCTGCCAGCCATGAACTCTCCAAGAAATACTGCAAGGAGTTGGAGAGATGTGACAACAAAAGAAAAACAAAGTGCACTTCATGCAGCTGCAACGTTCAAGCCCGACAATCCTTTCTGTAGGATTATCTTGCGACCATCCTATGTGTACAAGAGAATACTTCTAGTAAGCCCATGAAATAATCCTTTAATATAGTATTTTGATTGAGCTTTGAAATACTTGTACACTGAAGTTGTCACTCCTTTTGCTTCTGCAGCATATCCCTCGCTGGTTTGCTAGGAAACATCTGAATGGATTTAATGGCACTACCACACTTCAGGAATCTCAAGGGAAAAAGTGCCCTGTTCGGTGTATCTATGCGGATGGCCATTTGAAGTTTTGCAAAGGATGGGCTGAATTTGTCTTGGATAATAATTTAGATGAAGGGGACGTTTGTGTATTTGAGCTGATTAACACAGAGGAGATTGCGCTAAAAGTTACCATATTCGGAGTTCTTGAAGATGCAGGATCAGTGAACCAACTATAATCCAGTAAATTGTTCTTTTACTAGCTAAACTGTATCAGGTACATATCTTTCCTTTCCTGATGCTCTGTTTATTCATATTGGATTTGGTTTAATTTATGTTTTAAGCTTTTCTGTTAAAGCAAGTAGGAGAATATAACGCAATTTTTCATTTTTGTCTTATGACAGTGAATTGATAAATAGAATAACAATAACTATTGACTGGGACAGTATAACTTTTTCGTATATTTACCTAGAGATTTATGTAACTTTCTAAGATTCCAAGAGGATAAAGGTTTTATCATATTGTAGTAACTTCCATAGACCAACATCTACTCTGCTATTGTTCTGTGTTCAAAGTGCAAAATTTTCGATGATATCTAACACTTGAATGGTCTTTCCGTTGTTTGCAGGAGCTGGCTCTTCTTATCTGTTGACGATGGTTGATGATGGTTGGCATGAATTTGTTGAGTATAATTCAATCCGCTATGGGTATTTTGTGATCTTTCGATATGAAAAAAATTCCACTTTCCATGTTATTATATTTGATAATAGTGCTTGCGAGGTTGACTATCCAAGTTATGTTCTAAGTAATGATGAGGAGCTCACTGATGGTGAGAGTGAGAAACACTCAATTCACCAAGATAGTGAAACAGAAGAGGTCGATGCATCTGAGCTTTTAGGTGTCAAAACTCTGAATTTGGATGAAAAGGCAAACCGAGAAGCTATTAGCAGAAAGCAGGATGCATCATCTCAGCAGCGTTTGGTCAGAAAGCCTCAAGGAGTTGCTGCTTCACACAAGAATTCTGAAGTCAAACAGGCCAAAGTGACTGGAGTCAGAAGATGTAAGACCGAAGAGGTGGAGTTTGATAATTTGAATGAATCAAGGCAAATTAATTCGAACATAAAAGAACTACGCAGATCTCACAGATTACTGCCTAGCAAGAGTCACCTGATGAATCAGAATGCTAAGAGTATACATGATCAGGTTCTATCTCTTCAACTTCGAGACCTCAAGCAACAGTTTGATGGGAAGAAACTTAAGATAACTATACAAAGGGCTAATCCGCAGAGCTTAGAAGTGATGCACAAAGGCAATGAAGCAAATGAAAAAACTGAATCTGGTAAGCCTTTCATATTCATATTTATATTATATAGCTAAAAAATATTTTGTTTCTTCATCAGTAACTACATAAAATGCAGGTAAACAAGATCAGCAGGGGTCAATACAAGATGAAGAAACTGAAATATATGTTAGTAGGATGTTTTTTAGTATTTCTTCAACATCCCGTGATAGAGAGAGGGCAATCAGGGCTGTGGAAGTGATCAAGCCTATGACTCCTTGTTTCATGATTATCTTGCGGCGCTGTCACTTTAATTCCTCTTCTATGGTAAGCCTTTAGATAAATAAACCTTGTTGTGAAACTTTCCATGTCATGTTAGAAATTACGCCTTACTTGCAGCATTCATCTCCTTGTGCAGCCTGTTCCAGCTGGGTTTGCTACTGAGTGGGGTTACAGATCATATCAGAGTTGAGGATTCTGATGGAAGAGAGTGGTTTATTGAACTCCGAAGGCAGAACAATTGTACCCTTATGTTAAGAAAGGGATGCCATGGATTTTGGAGAGATAATAATTTGAAGGAAGGAGACGTCTGCTTCTTTGAGTTGAGAGATAAGAAGGCTGCTGTTCACAAAATATCAATTTTTCGTGCAGATTCAAATTAAGTAAATTCGCTTGCCTCTTGATATGGAAGAGGTGGCAACTATTACAAGATCAAATTTGGAGTCCTCTAGTTTTTCTCTTCTTTTTGTGAAAAATTTATGTCCATGTTAATGTCAATGAAGCAATATTTAACCGCCATGGCATACTTATACTTACTTCCAAAAGGATCTTCCTTGTTAAAAGGTACCTTGAAGGTACTATTCATTCTTCGGTTATAGTTTACTCCCACATATGCTTATGTCAATAGATCCTTTGTGGAGTAGTTGATCAATGGTCTCAGTCACCTCAAGATTGGGTGCTACTGAACATTGATTGGTCAAACTCGAAAATTACTTTACATATTAAGCAGAATTATGAAATGTTTATTGGGATTTGACAATGGGATGGGATGAGAGATGCGTACAGTGATATGGGCTATGAACAACTACTACTCAACATTGGTTGGTCAAACTCAAAAACTATTTTACATATCAAACAAAATTAAGAAATGTTTATTAAGGTTTGTCAATGGGATGGGATGAGGGAGGTCGTAGAGTGATACTGGTTATGAACAATAAAATCCTTACAAGATTTATTCAAATTTGACTATTAAAGATTTTTTGTAAAAAAAAAATGATAAATCAGTATTATTTCATGTGTATCGTAATTGTTTTTTTATAAATATAACTTTCCAATATCTTGTTAGCACAATGTTTCGTGTTTCAATTTTACTAAACAATGTTACGAGAATTTTATTTTCACGTTTTATTTTGACATAAATATATTATTTTTATTTTCTTAAAAAAATACATAGTTTATAGATTGAAAAGAAAAGAAAAAACAAAATGACTCATAAAAGGGGCGGAGAAAGCGAAAGAAAAAGAAGCTGAGTAGGGCCGAGTAGAAAAGAAAAGCTAGACTGTAGACGAAAGGAGGAAAAGAGAGAGAGACAGAAAGAAAGAGCCAGTGAGAAGGAAGAGAGGGTCCAAGCTGAAACACTTGCCAAATCTCACTCAATCCTCTGCGGTCTGACATATTCGACAATCTAGTCATTCCAATTCTCGTATTCAATAATTGACGTATAATTTCGTGATATTTAGTCCCACAATTCAACTTGGACTTTCAAGACCTGTTGCTTCTCTTCTGTTGTGATTGGTATAGAAATTAGAAACGCAGGGGCCAACTCGTCTATCACTACGTTCTTCGGATCAGTGGTCAGGCCAGAAGGGTCAAATGGGTTGAAAACTGTTAAAGAGAAAAAGGGGTGGAGAACTTAAACAGCATATCATTATTGCTGCTTTGATTGGCTACTCCCAAACTTTCGAAAGTTGACTACGTTGATACGGAATACAACTTGGCTACCACTGTCCTGCTTGGGTGCTTCACTATGCCTTGAGTTAGACCAACACTTATCCCACAAAATAACTTAGTTATAAAAACAATTCCACTAGGAGTCTTAACATTAGCAAATTCAAATTCCTGATCGATGGTTAGCTATGCTAACCACTAGCTAGGATAACTGAACAAACAAAAAAGGCCAGGAACTCCAGCCTGAAGCTGAAACCAGGAGATGGGGATTCCATATCCATTAAAAATATGCATTTTAGTCTTATTTTTGCTGAAACAAATCATGAAATATCATGGGAATAAACAATGGTCATGAAATTGTGTAATATCCTATGTTGAAATATAGGCAGTAGAAACAGAAACACAATGAGAGTTAGCTCCCATTGCGTAATTCAGCTGATAGATAATAACAAACATCTTCAAACATGCAAATGCATATAAATGACAACTATCGCTATTATGAGAATGGCTATGCAGAAAAGATATAAAGATAAAAATGGGAAAGAAGTGCCGCATGTTTTCTGCAGTAAACTTGAAAGGAAAATGTCAAAGCAATAGATAAAACTACAGCATGAAAGCAGCAAGAGGAATTCAAGCCAAGCAGTGAATGAAAAATTCAAACCAATCAAACAAACCATAAAATCAAGTCTAACACCCATTTTTCCAACCCAACTCAACGTCAACTTCATTGGACATTCTATTTACAGACCTAGTCAAGCCACAAAATTTTTGTATCCACTCTCCTAAGCTGCTAA